AGGGAAAAGGGAAAAGTATGAGAAATGTCTGTGGTAAGGATAGGAATAGATGTTGGGATTCACCTGGCTTGTAGGATGGTAGCACGGCGAGGGCTGGTGGGACCCCTGGCTCTGTTTCGCGGTGTTATTTTGGGTGTCTCTGTTGAGCTGGGGGGGTAGGTGACTTTGCCGCGAGGAGTTAAATTGGGTGTCTCTGAGATGTTGGCTTGTAACTCAGCTGGTAGCATTTTGGGTTTGGAAGATGTGACCTGGTGAGGTGACACAGGGCTCTTTGGGCTTTTAACTAGAAAGACATGAAACATGGTGAGAGCAAAGAAAACCATTAAATATTCTCAAACTGTCTGGCTCGCATGCGTTCGTTCTTGATATATCTGTGCTGTTAATCTTGCTTAGGAAATGGGGTTATGGTAAGAAAAGAAAAAAATGTACAAAATGAGCAGATGAAAGGGTATGCTGAATGCTACTAAGGGGAAAATTTCCAGCGGCATAAATCAATTGCTAAACCACCTTCCCCCACCTCATGTAAGAAGAAAAGGCCCATGTACATGACTGATTCTCAGCCGATAGATTAGGGCAGAGGTTGGCATTGTTTTCTGGCAGGGGAATGGGATGACCCATCTTGGGTCAGAGGGCAGGGCTGGGATCCAGAATGACCTGGATAGACTGGAGAAATGGTCCACAATCAATCAGATGAAATTCAACAAGGACAAGTACAAAGTCCTGCACTTGGGATAGAATAACCATATACGCAAATACAGATTAGAGAATGAGTGGCTAGGCTGCAGAGAAGTACCCGGCAGTTATGGTGGACCATAAGCTGAATATGAGCAAACAGTGTGGCTTTGTTGCAAAAAAAACTAATGGTATCCTGGGTTGTATTAACAGGAGTGTCATTTGCATATCAAGGGAAGTGATTCTTCTGCTGTTTTTAGCACTGGTGAGAGCTCACTTGGAGAACTGTGTCCAGTTTGGGGCCCCACACTTCAAGCAGGAGATGGCCAGTTTGGAAAGAGACTGGCTCAGAGCAACAAAAGTGCTCAGGGGCCTAGGACTCAAGACTCATGAGAGAAAGATGAAAGAACTAGGGATATTTAGTCTGGGGAAAGGCAGACTTGGAGTGGGAGAGGGAACACTGATAATAGTCTTTAAATACATGAAAGAAAATTGAGAGGGTGCAGATAGGGCCCATAGGGGACAGGATGAGAAGAAAGGCACTCAAGCTGCAGAGAGGAAAATTCAGGATGGAAATTAGGAGGAACTTTCTGATGTATAAGGGTAGTCAAGCACTGGAACAGGCTATCTAGAGAAACTGGAATTTCCATCCTTGGAGGTTTTCAAGAGCAGGATGGACAGACATACTTGGCTGGGATGGTTAGTCAGGGATGATCCTGCTTTGAGCAGGGGGATGGATAGATGAGCTCATGAAGCCTGTACTTTCTATGATCCTATGATCTGGCCTGTGGGTCATAGGTTGCTGACCCCTGGAGTAAAGCAACTAGTGTATATGAGAGCAGCTTTCTGGCTGCGCTAAAATACTCTGAGGGGTTTTTGGTTCTCAACGAGTGCAGAATTAGAGGTGCAGAAAGCTGTGGAAGAGCCACCCAACTCCTCCCACTCTTTCTGCAGTGGCACTGAGCTTCCGTTACTTGCTAGATGGCTTTCTATCACTGCTCTCCTTCGGAGCTCCCTGAAACTCCAGCTGATGGCAACAAAGCAGCTTTCTGCATTTTCTAATATCTGGTAAAGGGAAGAGAATTTCAGGACCAGGAGCTGGGTTGTTTTTGTTTTGTTTTGTTTTTTTTGTTATTTCCTCTTGAATTTTCCCTTCAAGGAGCATTAACAGAGGAGCCCAGTCAACCTAGTCAAAGTGAGCAGCGCAAACAGCAGATGCAAAGGGTTAATTTCTGCTGGACACAACATCCTGCTCAGTGTAACCTGGGGCTGCTTGACAGACAGTGGAAACCATGCCCATGATAATGATAACAGGCTGCGAATGAACTCGTGTCCCCAGCATGAGAATCCAAGGAGAGGAACACGGGCGTTTACCTGAAAATACAGAGACTTGCCACAGCAAAGTATCGTCCTCCTTCTGTCGCTGCTTGACTTTCCAGGTGACATCTTGGATTAATTTCTCCCTCAAGCTGAGGAGATGTGGAAACTTCTTGGCCTTCTGTTGCTGTTGAGTCCTTACTAGAGCTCTCAGAGTTTTATAGGTCTGAGCTGGAATCCCCTTTGCAGCCTGAAACAGAGAGCATAACATTGCAACCTCCTCTGACAAACCCACAAAACTCCTGGCACTGTCTTGTGTGGTGTGCTGAGCCTTCCCCAAAGCTCCCATCATATCTAGAAGAAAGCTCAGCTTCGTCCAGATTAGAGGCCCAGGTACAAACCTGCTGGAATCAACAGGAGTTTTTCTATCCTCTTCCCTAGGCTCAGGCATTCAATCCCTGATTTTCCTAACAAGAGCATGGAGATGCTCATACAAGAAACAAATGCCCTGGTACCAGCATTCAGCCCTCCCACATCTGAATGCTGGCCCTTTTCTGCTCTAGTATGTATTTACAGGGCAGTCGGTGCCTACTGCAGAATCCAAGCTATCTGCACCAATTCCTACCCGAGAAGAGATATCAGGATAAGTAGGCTTGCTCATGGGTCTGCCTTGAATATGATTCGGGGTCCTGTGCAGCTTTGCAATACAAGGGTCCTGGCATGGTAGGAATCACTGGCAAGTCTGCTTGGAGGCCAGGGACTAGTTTTGGGTTTGCCAAGCAGAGGGTCTGCTGCAGAAGGTGTAACCTGTGCTTGTTCCAAGAAGCTTGCAGTCAACTGAGATGTGTTGAGGAAGATTTCTCCGCAGCTGCCTGCACAGCTGAGCGTGAGCAACACTTCAGTTCTAAAGGCACCAGATTCTCATGCAAATAAGTACCCTTTTCCCCTGCCCCCCTTAGAAATTCACTGGTTAGGTGTAATTTATGTGCAGACTGTTGCCCTGAAGACTCCTGCTTTGCAGTATTGCAGGAGAGAAGAGTGCACAAGCCAGAAGCACAGGCCATCTCAGTTAAATTTTTCTCTAAGTTCTGTCTACACTAAGGACTGTAGTTGATACTGTGACTTCTGGAACACTTCTAATACCCCATGGAGGCACATACCCGTGCCCTAGAATTTAAGCTGTATGTAGATTATACCTACCCTGTGCCAGGTAAAGCAATATGCCATCCCCGCCATGACTTTCCTCACCTCTGAAGTGTATGTGGGCAGCAAGAGCTGTTTTAGCAGCTGCATTGTACAGATGCAATGGCCTTCTCACTGTAATCCCACAGGGCTCATTCCCTCTTTCAGTGGCAGCCTAGAGAACTGGCCCCGCTATCTGTTCAGTCACTTGCACACAAGACACTTGCTAGCCCTGGAGGAGCTGAAGCTGAATAGGGTTGCTCTCAGCCCCTGTTCCAGGCCAGCCTGGGAGTCTGCAAGGCCAGGACTCAGTTGTTTTTGCTTTTTCCTGGTCTGCCTTATGAGTTGCAACCTCCTTACCCCTGGAGCTTTCGGGATGGACACAGAAATGGAATGCAATTGTATTTTATTAAAGGCGTTTCTTTTGTACCACAAGGATCCCAGTGGGCGAAATGAATCAAAGGGCAGAACACAAAGGCTGTCTGGTCTGGATGCACAGCTCGCTCAGACTTGAGGAAGCGCCAGTGGCAAGGTCTCCAGTGAAGACCCAGCCCCCTAGGCTGCCTGTGTGTTCATTGTCTTTGCACTGCCCTGACAAGACAGCTGCAGTTACGCTGTGAAAATGCATCCCCCAGAACCCAGGGAGAGTCAGAGAGAATGGTGTCCAATTAGCTCCACATGAAAAGGACTTGGACAGCAAGAACTCCCCTGATTTCCCTTGGGCCAGTGAGACTGGCTGCTTGGTCCCACCCTCCTTCCCCAAGCCATTCCCTTGAATGAAGCCTCCTAGTTAAAAAACAAACAAACAACAACACAAAACAAACAAACAAACCCTCCCCCGCCAAACCTATAGTTGGAGGGGCTGGAATAGCTGGGATATGAATGGCTGCACTGAAAGGGGCTGTTGCTGGAAAGGCAGTAATGTGAGCTCAGCGCAGCCTTTTCCTCACCCCGATGAAGGGTGTTTGTACCCAAAAGCTTGCAAAGAATTTTTCCAACTATTTTAGTTGGTCTAATAAAAGATAGGATCTACCCAAAGAACCTCGCCTGCCTATATCCTTAGACCAACATGGTTACAACCTATACCTCTGTGCTCAGTGGAGAGGCAATGGTGGATTAGGCTTGAGAACAGAGGCAGGACACCTGTTCCTTGCCCTTCTGTGTAGTGGTGGGTGTCTCAATTTGCCCCTCTGTGAGTCTCTTGCCTTTCCTCCCTTTGTCTACTTAGAGCATAAGCTTTTCCAAACAGGGAATGTCTGTACCGCTCCTGGGGCATTGGGATACCCTGGGGACTCTGGATGCTACGGCCACTCAAATACAGTTCAAAGTGCTATTTCTCTCCACGCCCTGCCTTGTCCCTCTCCCCTGCACACACCAGTGGTGCCTGTCTCTATAACTATATAGAAATATGCATCCTGCTTGCCACCAGACAACTTCAAGGTAAAGAGACTTTTTCAACCTTTCTCTTTGCTTAACCTGGCCAAAATGAACTATTCTAAACAGGAGATATTACTACACCTTCAGATCTCCTGTGAAATGTGAATTTTCATTTCTACCTGGGAGAGTTTTTACGGTCTCTGCTCTCTCCTATGCCTGATGAAGAGGGAGCATGCCTGAAAGCTTGCAAATAAATAAAATAATTTGTTTGCAAATATCTAGTTGTTTTAACAAAAGTTATTACCTCTTGCATGAGTTTTGATTCCTTTTGGATCTATAACCAGCATTTAAAACCCTGGAAGAGCCAAAGTCAGAAGAGGCTGCACTGGACATGGGGAGATGACCCTCCTCCTGCCCAGAGCCTCTCCCTCTGCAGAAGCTTACCCTCCTCACACCCATGCTCTCAAGCTTCTCCTCTAGCATGTCCTCCAGAATGGGACGAAACTGCTTTAGTAGGTTTGGATTCCTCCTCAGGGCTTCCAGGAGCCTCTGCTTCCTATCCAGTGTATCCTCCAGCTCTGCAGGGAAAAAACATCCAGGACCTGTGAGGCAGGGTATGATTAAACTGAACCCTTGATGTCACAGAAAAAGCCAGAGCAGTCTTGAGTATTAGGCTTCTCCCTTTATAAGGACCATTGGCCAAGATCACTATTCTA